TTGGTCAAAAATAGCAACAAACTTATTTAGAACTTATGGCAAAAAACACAATCTGGAAGTGCAATTTCAATCAAAACTACATGAAACCATACGCAACATAAAGATAAACTTGCAACAAAAATATACCACCATGTTCTTCAACGACCTGAATGATGACAACAGAAAAAGAGGAGGGTCAAACAAACTAAGATTTTATAGACAACTTAAAACAAAATATGAACCTGAACCATACCTATTAAATTTATATTCTAAACAAGCAAGAAGAGCATTAACTAAACTAAGGCTTAGCGACCACAACCTAAGGATTGAACAAGGCCGTCACCAATCCATCCCTGCTAATCTTAGATTCTGTTCCCTATGCAATAACGGGTCAATAGATGATGAATTCCACCTACGCTATGACTGCACTGCCACCAACCACATCAGAAAAAAAATAGAAGACAAATTTATACACTTCACATTCCTAGGCAAATGGTTATTCATCACAAATCATGTGGCCAATCTCCTCGAATTCTCAAAGTTTATCGAAGATTCATTCAAGCTACGACAAGATCCACCCAAAACATAAATAGTGAGATATACAAATAATAAACGAAATCACACCACATATCCCAAGCTAAATACAGAGAGGTTTAGACTAACAGTCGGGCTTTACTAGTCCTACATCTGAACTCAGGGTGCCTGCAGTTTTCGATACCAAACGTTATTATCTGCGGCAACCGATACCACGCGATATTTACCGCGATAGTCTATACTCACATGAAACTTGTTCGTTAGCATAGTTTAGGAGTTTGTATTTTATTACACTAGTTTGAAGTGTTGTTGTTTTTTGCAGGCGCGGATTTAGATGGGGGTACATCCGGCCCGTGCCCCCCCTTTTGAAACCTAAAAAAAAATTAAAAAAAATTAATTACACTGCAACTACCGTAAATAACCGTACTGCCCTCATAGAGCTGTATATAGGAAAACCTTATATACAGCTCTATGACTGCCCTGCGCATGGCATGCACTGCCTATATCTACACGTCTACGTCTATATCTACTCCTGATCGACGCCGCGAGTTCGACAGCCCGCGTGTGCAAAGTTGAAAGAATTTTGCAGGACCATGGAAAAACCCTCAAACAGAATCGATGCTATGTTATCATCGACAGCTGCACTCCGTGTTGCAAAGAACAGAAGAATCTTGACCTCAATCATAAAATGTCTAGAGATGTGTGGTAGACAAGCCGGGATTGCATTACGTGGTCACCGAGATGATGGCATCGATGTCTCTTCCAATACTAGTAATTTTGGAAACTTCAAAGCCCTGTTGGACATGAAGATTGATGCTGGCGATAAAGAGCTCTAAAACCACCTACAGGATTGCAGTCGAAATGCCAGCTACATATCCAAGACCGCACAGAATGCCCTAGCTACTTGATTGTATCAAGAAGCAGGTACAGGACATGATTGTAAATGAAATCAACAGTCAAGATGAAGGTGCCCTGTACGGGATCAGTGCTGATGAAGTGGCTGATGTAAGCCAGTGGAGCAGCTAGGGATACTTGTGCGATATGTCAAGGATGGAAAACCTGTTGAGCGCTTTCAGCAGTTTGTGCCTTGTTGTTAAAGTAAACGGGAAGTGCCATTGCGAAGAACTTGTTTTTTCAACATTGAAAGATGTAGGTCTGAATCCAGTTAACTGCCGATCACAACATACTATGGGTGGCTGCAAATATGGCAGGCTCAATAAGCGGCCTGCAGCAAGTTCAAGAGGAGCGCCACTTATGCGCACTACTTTTCATTGTGCGAGCACGTTTAAACTTTAGTCATAGCCAAAGTCATCACAAGTTCGAGAGATTACGTGCACGTTTAACCTCTGCGTGCAGTGGTGTATTCTTCAGACGGTTTTCCTAAAAGACAGAAGATGCTCTAGAGAAAGTATATAACACAAATGAAACCTGAGAGAGCAGGAAGACAAATTGCAGGCCAATTAAGATGACAAGATAAATAGTCTCCTGCTGAACCAGATGGGTTGATAGGCCCAACAAGTTCTTTTGAAGGGGGGGGGGGGGGGGGGGGGGGGGGGGGGGGGGGGGGGGGGGGGGGGGGTGGGGGGGGGGGGGGGGGGGGGGGGGGGGGGGGGTGGGGGGGGGGGGGGGGGGGGGGGGGGGGGGGGGGGGGGGGGGGGGAGGGGGGGTAGACTTTCATATCGATGTATTGCAGGCCTGTTCTAGGTACCTTGGATAAAATTTGTCGGGAAGGTTGGGAACGAGACACTGTCAGCAAGCAAGTGCTTTAGCCTACCAAGTATATCTAATTATGTGCTCATTGCCAGCTTCCAGTGTGTGCGCTCATCTTTGGGTTTACAAAGTCTAGCTGTCTACGTCAAGAAGCAGCAAATAATCCTTGAAAGATTACCAGGATGTTAAAAGATGGTCAAGGATGAGCTATTTGAGTAAGGACCAAACAGTAATCCAGAGGGGGGGGGGGGGGGGGGGGGGGGGGGGGGGGGGGGGGGGGGGGGCGGGGGGGGGGGCAGTGTTTGACATGAATGTTGTACAGAAATGGAGCACATGAGCTACATTCGCGCTGGAGAAAATAGGATACACGAGGTGCCTCCTCGCAGACAATGCGGGCGGAACCTCCCTACTTGATAACACGCCAGACTAACTATCGGATTGGGATTTCAACCAGTCTTGGGATTGGCCTCAATCGAATAAATCCTACACGATTCAGGTGAATAATCCAACCAAGCTGTTCAAGCTTTGGCCTCTCATTTCCAGGCCAACATGAACTACTTACCACGGGAATTTTACAGCAACTGCTTCTATTCTATGGCCCTGACCTACCTTATCAGCACATTTCTCAGAACTAAGGTACTTGTAAAACGCTTATTTCCGGCCAGGAATCGAAGCACGCATTTTCGTCTCTGCCCAGAAACTCTCAGCAGTGCAACATTTCTCCAGTTTCCAAATGTTCACCGAATATTACATGTGTTTATGCTGAAGCCTAACTGTGAGGTTGTGGGATGGAGATGGCCAATTCTTCTCTGAGATTATTAAATCTCCCTTTCAGAAGCACTATGGCGTATGACGCACGGAATGCCTTGATGCCTGCTCTTTGTCATAGAGACATTAAATTTGATTATGACAAGGTGATGATTTATTTGCATCTAGACACCCTTCGCAGAATGCTTTTCACGCAATCCACTTTCAGCGTACCTTGATTTGTATCTGTTACCTGAAAATCAAATTTAGAAGACATGCCCTTAGAAGATAGGCCTTCAACTGTTGGAGTACCATAATATATGTACACTGTACATGTAAATCTTAAATTCTGTTAAGATCTGGCATTTTTGAAAATATGTTCTGTGAGCTCTCTGTCTGTATGCAAATGAATGTACCTTTCCAAACCCATGAACTACATAACGGACAATCAATGCTTTGCTACAAATGAATTAAAGGTGTCTCCAAATTGAAAGTCATTACTTTATTAGGTATTCTTTCAATTCATATCCCAAACTGAAACAGTCTACATAACAGTCGGCCTGTTTAGTGAATCGTAGTGTTATACAGTTTAATGTTTTGCAAGTATTTTAACAAAATAGAGATTTTAGAGAATCAAAGGTGGGCTCTGATGGACATGCATGCAGCCTCGCACTTTGGTCCGCCTATGCACATTTAGGATTTAAAAAAACTAAAACCTATGATTTCGCCTTAGGTAAGTTGATTTAGGAACTGCACTGCTTTTCATGTGATTTTAGAAAACAATATTTCATGTTGTGTTACATGAACATCATGGAAGTTTCGCAGGAATAGTAATTTCCTTATCCATGTGAGAAGTGTATCCAACTATATCTGACCATAGTTGAAGGCTCTTGCATGCAGTTTTTCTCAATTTCAATGTTGTAAATAAGGTTACAAGATAAGGTTCCAGTCAGAAATTGTGAGATCATAACCCATTTTCATGTTTAACATAACTATTCAAATTTATCAGTCATTCTTCCGAATTTCCTGCCAAAGAAAGCATCTCAGTCATTGCAAGAATTTGATTTTTATATTGCAGATATATTTCTGGCCTGCAACTGTTATATGTCATACATGTATGTACCTTTAAACCGGATGTTTCATTAGGGAAGAAAGTAATAATTTTATTTTGCCTTATGTAATTACATAGTCATACTATTACAAACATTCTTTCAAGTTTGAAATATATTCGAGTTATCACAAGATGTGAATTTTGAAATTGCCATATTTTTCTCTAGCCTGAAATAGTTATTTGATATGTGAATGTGCTTCTGAAATACCACATGATCATGTGAGAAATATATAAGGTTTAAAACATTTCAGTGTAATGTAATTTCTCGGTACGAACATTTTACGGTCTTCCCCCCCCCGCCCCATACCGAAAGGCTGCATGGTTACGCCACTGATCAAATTTAACACATAAATGCTTACTGCAATATGAGTTAAAATACCCTCTACAGTATGCATCAGATTGCACCATTTTAAGCTAAAAAGTGCAAAAGCCCACACCCTCCCCCCTCGGTCGCTTTGCTCGCTCGCGCTTGGTCGCTCTGCTCCTTCGCCTTATCATCCCCCCACATTTCACAATAGATTTCTCATTTTGTGCCCCCTCTTTTTTAAATTCCTAGATCCGCCCCTGGTTTTTTGGATAGAACGTTAAATTATGTTAAATAACAAAAAAATATATTTATCATGTATAGTATGATGTAACACTAACATCACTAACATGTGACATTTCATGCAGTCATGTCAAAGTAGTCAAAGACACATCGTTTCTCTCGTTTTTATTAGCCTAGAAATTTGTTTTATTGTAGTTTGTAGCATATTTGCCTGTATGATCTGCGATTATCCGTGCAATAAACTTTATTTGAATTTTGAATTTGAATTTGTTAAGTTTTGAAGTGAATGTCAACTGTAAAACGTGACTCTCACTCCACGCCCGGGGGATAGCAACACCCGTTTTTGATGCGGTGTGTGCGCAGTCTACTGCGCATTCTGCGCGTGCGTATTAGGATAGCGCTCCCTTTTACAACAGAACGTCTAAATGCTGTTGTACAAGTGATGTTCTCTGTAAATGTTTTTCCTTGTCATTTTCAATCGCATTAATTTCTGACTATCAAAATAGAGTGTAAAATATCTTTGATGGCACTACTGCGTAATAGGTTAGGTAGTTTTTTAAGTTAGTTCTACAATTTCGTTGCATTTCAGCTTGCTGTGAGTGTCACTAGGTCCGATTCTTGAGTCTTAGTCACCGGCTGTAGAAATCATGGGCGAACCAAAATCGTATCTATACGCTATTCTTGGTAAGAAAAATCGTCAGCCCCAATATGTGGAGCGTCAGACTGGGAGCAAGCACAAACCAAGATTCATATCAGAGGTAGGTGTTATAAAGTCAGCAGTATAAAATTCTTAATCCATTCGGATCTTATTTACAAAATGCAAAACCACCAGCATCCAAAACACAGAGTGTAGGCCCTTCCACGAGTTCAAGGATACTTTCCACGTTGTGCATGACATTTTATCGATTTTTCGTTTTTAACTTTATTCGATGTCTAACGCTATGTGCCACCTGTGTACATGCTCATTTCTCCATATAACGGTACATGTGAACTGTCAGAGCGTTTTTGCTTGCCCCCGTACATGTGTAGTGAGCCGCGGCTGACGTCTTTATGACGTCAGACACATGATACAACCAGCATTTTTACGATATTCACTGAGCCAGTATCCATCAATATCAGGAGTAGATAATAGGGAATTCCCTATTATCTACGCCTGACAACATCAACCCTGCTACAGCTGTACTACTACCCTGATCCAATAAGTATCCCACAGGAGCCTAAAATAGTTCTCACACTTTGCAACGCACCTTACATAAGGCGCGCGTTTGTTGACAGGGACGTCAGGCAATGGGCGGGTTCGCGCCATTTGCATGGAATTGCGTTGGTCGCCTCCTAATTTCTCAGAATTTCTCAAGCCCCATTTGCACACAGGCGGTCACTCATTGTGAAAAATAGAAAAACCCTCATTTCTCCGTTTCGATTTCTGTCTCGAATTCTCAAAGTTTATCGAAGATTCATTCAAGCTACGACAAGATCCACCCAAAACATAAATGGTGAGATATACAAATAATAAACTAAATCACACCACATATCCCAAGCTAAATACAGAGAGGTTTAGACTAACAGTCAGGCTTTACTAGTCCTACATCTGAACTCAAGGTGCCTGCAGTTTCCGATACCAAACGTTATTATCTGCGGCAACCGATACCACGCGCGGTATTACCGCGATAGTCTATACTCACATGAAACTTGTTCGTTAGCCATAGTTTAGGAGGTTTGTATTTTATTACACTAGTTTGAAGTGTTGTTGTTTTTTGCAGGCGCGGATTTAGATGCGGGTACATCCGGCCCGTGCCCCCCCTTTTGAAACCTAAAAAAAAAATTAAAAAAAATTAATTACACTGCAACTACCGTAAATAACCGTAGCTGCCTCATAGAGCTGTATATAGGAAACCCCTTATATACAGCTCTATGACTGCCCTGCGCATGGCATGCACTGCCTATATCTACACGTCTACGTCTATATCTACTCCTGATCGACGCCGCGAGTTCGACAGCCCGCGTGTGCAAAGTTGAAAGAATTTTTGCAGACCATGGAAAAAACCCTCAACAGAAGATGCTATGTTATCATGCGACAGCTGCACTCCGTGTTGCAACAAGAACAGAAGAATCTTGACTCAATCATAAATGTCTAGAGATGTGTGGTAGACAAGGATTGCATTACGTGGTCACCGAGATGATGGCATCGATGTCGCTTCAATACTAGTAATTTTGGAAACTTCAAAGCCCTGTTGGACATGAAGATTGATGCTGGCGATAAAGAGCTCTAAAACCACCTACAGGATTGCAGTCGAATGCCAGCCTACATATCCAAGACCGCACAGAATGCCCTAGTACTTGATTGTATCAAGAAGCAGGTACAGCGACATGATTGTAAATGAAATCAACAGTCAAGATGAAGGTGCCCTGTACGGGATCAGTGCTTGATGAAGTGGCTGATGTAAGCCAGTGGAGCAGCTAGGGATACTTGTGCGATATGTCAAGGATGGAAAACCTGTTGAGCGCTTTCAGCAGTTTGTGCCTTGTGTTAAAGTAACGGGAAGTGCCATTTGCGAAGAACTTGTTTCAACATTGAAAGATGTAGGTCTGAATCCAGTTAACTGCCGATCACAAACATACCGATGGTGCTTGCAAATATGGGCAGCTGCAATAAGGGCCTGGCAGCAAAGTTCAAGAGGAGGCACCTTATGCGCCACTACTTTCATTGTGCGAGCCACGTTTTAAACTTAGTCATAGCAAAGTCATCAAAAGTTTCGAGAGATTACGTGCACGTTTAACACTCTGGCGTGGGCAGTTGGTGTATTCTTCAGAGGTTTTCCTAAAAGAAC